CATCTGGTGAAAATTTCATGTCATTAGCACCTCTAGTAATATATTTACTGAGAAAAATGGTGACGTGTTCAATACTTATTTTACCCGCTGTACAATTTTAAACAAACATTTTCAAATTTTTGGAAAACAGTAATTTTGATTTTGACGGCAGCCACCCATCAATTTGATACAGGAAACAACAGATTAAGTGCTGGCAACAGGTGGGTAAAGGACTGGTATAAAAAGAGTGTTTTTAGAGAGAATGAATCTCTTAGAAGGAAAAAATATGCAGAGGTTCCTATCAGACAATAGCTACATCTAAAAGTGGAACAATATTAAAATATAATTCTTCAATGAAAAATTGTAAAGACTGAACATCATATAAGCTACAGTTTATATCAAAAAGATTTCAATCTTCTGTAGCTGAGCTCCAAGGACAAAGCTGAAAGTCTTGTGATTTCGACCTCAGGTGGAACTGCATTAAAACAGGTCTGTTTGTTCTGACATCGCATGAACTAAGAAAAAAAACTCATATTTGAACACCAACAGAATGTGGTCTTCTCTGAGCCAAAGTTCATTTAAAATGACCTGAGGCAAAGTAAAAACTTCTGTGGTCAGAACAAAAAATGAAAGTCTTTTTGAAAATCACAGATGCCTGCACTGATGAGAGGGATCGTCCAGCCTGTTATCAGCACACAGATCCAATATGTGTGCCTCTCTGATGGTATAGGGATGCATTAGTGCCTGTGACATGGGCAGCTTACCTCCAATGCAGTTAAATATAGGTTTTAAAACAATACATGCTATTATCAAAGTCAAGGTCTTGCATTAAGCCAGAGTTAAATCACATTCTGCCTCCACTACAGACAGTGTTGATCATGATGCGTATCAGTACAACCAAATTATCACTACAAACTGTGAGGTGTTAGTAGAGGTTTGATGGTTTGAAAGCTAACATCTAATCTGCTTTCATGTCAGATCTTCAAACACAAATTTGTGAGTGACAGCAGCTTTACTGGGGTCGTATGAAGTCACTTTTTGAGCTGACTTGCCTGTGCATGCACGTTCATTTGTCTCCACTGTTGTCTCACTGATTATTTTAATGATTTATTTTTTAAAGTAAATGTCTGCACATACCTGATTCTTAGCACCAAGAGATGGCCACTATCACAACGTGATATGAGCCAACACAATGACTAACGCAGTCAGTTCTGCACATATTGATCTAAAATTGTGTGTGATATTAGCTAAAACTGATCCCTTAGGGTAAACACCTTGTGTCACGACTTTGCCTAAAATGTTGGCATTACCTGGTGTCTGCCGTAATGCCTGTTAGCAAAATATCTCATGAACCTGTGAACATATTTTTATGAAACTTAGAGTAATTACTGGTTCTAGCAGGCCAGCTAATCTGGCAAGATTTCAGGTGGCACGCCCTGTGCAATTTTATAAATCTCACTGCCAATTTACATCCATTCACATACCAAACCAAATAGTTTTGTCTTTGGTAATATTTTTATTTTTAGAGACCAGTTTGTCCAATTAAAATAATAAACAGTTTAATTAATTTGAAGCAGAATACCAGAGGTCTACCTCATACCTGCCAACATCTGCTGACAGCAATGAGGAACACATGTTAACAAGCAGCTGTGGAGTGAAGCAGTTCTAGGGGGGTCCAGGTGACTATACTCCCCAGAAAATTTTGTGGAAGATCTACTCACAGCTGAGTTTTCCAGATATTTGAAGAGCATTTTCTGAAATTCTTCAGAGTCAGTATTTTCTGAAGGTAAAACACTGAAAACCAGACTTTCTCTGAGATCATAACTGAAACTTTCATTATCCTTATTTTGTTTTCTATTTACACACTGAGCACCAGTAGTCTTGACTGCATCATGTGATACTTTTACCACAAAATATCCTCTGTACCACTGCTCATGTAGTAAGAAAGCAGCTGAGAAACCTACAGAACAAGTTACAGTCATCAACTTGAGTTACCCAACAGACTAAATCAACTTTACTCAGATAAATAAGTTATACTTTCTATTCCATCCCCCATTAACGATGGCCCTCTAGATCAGCGGTTCCCAAACTTTTTATCTTCTGACCCACAAAATATCCATGGCAAAAACTTGTGACCCCAAATATTACTGGTCTGAGTTCATGAACTTTGTTAATAACCCTAAAAACACAGGCTTTTTKACAATCTAAACAGCTTGTACACAAATATAAATACTTTTTTTTTTTTACTTATTTTGTGTTTTTGTAATAGTTATAGGGAAAATATCACATCAGCAATTATTTTATTACCCTTTAAATTGATTTCTGGAGATTTTCCAAGGTGCTTCATGACCCATAATTGGGTCCCAAGCCCAACTTTGGGAACCAAAGTGCACTGGTTCCCAAACTTTTCAGCTTTTGACCCACAAAATATCAGTAGCAGAGACCTGACCCCCCAGCTATTTTTGGATGATAAACATTTGTATCAGGTCAACTAAACATGGGCATAGTAACAATATTTTTATACTACATATATCCATTTTAAATATACTAACCTCACTCCTTTGTAACAACTAAGACAAAAATTTAATTAATTCAGAAAATCTTTTCAGGACCCCAACTTGATGTTTAGGGACCCCACTTTGGGTCCCGACCCCAACTTTGGGAAACACTGCTCTAGAAGGATGATGGATGCATTTGCCTATAGGCTACTGCCTAAAAAGTCACTGACCGGCCCTGATCAGTATCTGACTAACCTTTGGAGTCAACCCAGTTCAAGATGGCTGCCACAGCTAACTAGCCTTAGCCTACACAGAGCTGGTGATAACTCAGTGAATTTTACAGATATTGGGCCTTAATTTGGTGTGGTAGTAGCTGAGAGTCATTCACAACTCATCACGTTACTGAAGCTCTAAAAAATCCTGCAAAATTTGCACATAATATTACGTTAGACCAAAACAACAACTCTTAGGATGATCTTAGCCTAGTGCAGGGGTCTGCAACCTTAACAATCAAAAGAGACATTTCTGCTCCTTGTCTCACTAATAAAATGTGTCCAGAACCACAAAACAAGCCTCAACTGTGATTATCAACTGACGGTCTGCGGGCCTTTTCAAGGCCTTTTCAGGTACCTTCACGGTCAGTGGAGGTGACATTATAAAACTAAAAAATATTGCTATTATTATAATATTATTTATTATTATACACATCAGGACAAATAGATAGACCAAATTCATGTAAACAAGAAAAATACTGTATATTGTTTATACCAAATTTCACAAAAACTAGTACAACTGAATTATTCAGGCATTTTTTCCTTCTAATTCTTATTATTATGTAAGTCTTCAAATTCTTTAAAGGTAATTCTGATGGATTTGAGAAAAATAAGTTGCATTATTTCAGTAAACAACAGGCCAGCATGAGCTAACATGTTTTACTTTTTTAAATGTATTGATCACATATTTGCACACAAATTGATTTCTGTTTTGGGTATAAAAACAAACAAAAAAACAACAACAACAAAAGCTATTTATTCTGTTATGTTTGGTCACATTTTTAAAGAGCCACTGCAGAGGGACCAAAGAGCCACATGTGGCCCCAGAGCCGCAGGTTGCAGACCCCTGGCCTAGTGGCTGATATGCATTTCATTAGGAATGCTAGGCCTTTAAATTTTCTTTCTATAATAATTTTTTAATTAGATTATTTTTTTTTTACATTTTTTTATTAATATCATTGTGTGCTACAAAAAAAAATGTGTGTAGCAAAACTCAGTGCAGATCCGGGACCTTGAAACTGGACCAGCAGCAGTCCGCGGCTCTGAGCTGCGGTCACTGAAAGGTTAACCAGAGATGCGGCCGCAGTGTCTGCGCATGCGCAGCCGGATCCGCCGCGGCGGCTGCTGCAGTGAAGTAAAATGTGTGAGTTTCAATCAGAGACAGCGGACAACCGAGTGGTTGTGGGCAGGCTCGCCGGGGGATGAGTGTCGTCGGCCGGCCTGCAGCAGCAGCAGAGCTCCGTGTGGAGGTAAACAGGCACGTTTTATCAACATGTTGGGATTTAATCGTGCCAACAGCGCGCGTTAAGGACACTTCTCTCTCCTAAATGTAAGAATCTCACCCGGTGATTTCAGATTAATGCTCACAGAAACTTCGTGGCGTTTTTCTTTTTTATTTATTGCATTTGTAATTTGTGCAAAAAGTCATAAAAATGCGTCCTAATCCTGTAGGCTTTGCGCACAGATGCGCGCCTTCACCGGGTTAAATCTAAATACTGGAACAGGGTCACTTGGTCTTTTATTTCTGATTACAGTTCGCCCTATTATGGGATGTCAGGTCCTCTGGGATTGAAATCCCGGGTTTGTGCGTCTTTGCTGAGTGATCCGGGTGTCGCACTGCTCAGGATGCTCGGTGCTGCGGAGTCCAGCATCCGGGCCTGCAGTGGTCCCCCCCCCCCCCCCCCCAACAGTTTCCTGGGACAGAACACGACGCCCGGGGAAGTCACCCGCAGAGTCACGTGTTTCCATGCAGAAACTTGTTACAGTTTTTGGTAATGTGCGTTTCTAAAAGCTCTCATCGATCTGTGTCATATAAACTGTGTAGTTCATTATCATCTGAGGTGAGATAATCCCTGCTGGAGTCCACATCCCCCCCTCTCAGATTATTTTTAACCCATGCAACAGTTTCCACAGGAGGAATCCCAAAATGACCCCATAATATAAACCAGTGTTTCCCAAAGTTGGGGTCGGGACCCAAAGTAGGGTCCCTAAACATCAAGGTGGGGTCCTGAAAAGATTTTCTGAATTAATTACATTTTTGTCTTAGTTGTTACAAAGGAGTGAGGTTAGTATATTTAAAATGGATAAATGTAGTATAAAATATTGTTACTATGCCCATGTGTAGTTGATCTGAAACAAATGTTTGGAGGCACTCTTCTACTGTTTTGTACTATTTTGTGGGTCAAAAGCTGAAAAGTTTGGGAACCACTGCACTTTGGTTCCCAAAGTTGGACTTGGGACCCTGTTATGGGTCATGAAGCACCTTGGATAATCTCCAGAAATCAATTTAAAGGGGAATAAAATATTTGCTGATGTAATATTTTCCCTATATTTATTACAAAAACACAAAATAAGTAAAAATAAGTATTTATATTTGTGTATAAGCTGTTTAGATTGTCAAAAAGCCTGTGTTTTTAGGGTTATTAATGAAGTTTGTTTACTCGGACCAGTAATATTTGGGGTCACAAGTTTTTGCCATGGATATTTTGTGGGTCAGAAGACAAAAAGTTTGGGAACCACTGATATAAACAACACTGCACCATGAGGACCTGGGTGATCAGTGAGCAGAGGTGGGCTTACAGGCAGATAAATAACACTACAGATGAAATGTTTTGCACGAAGAGTAAAAAAAAAAAGCTGTTTTCCTGTTAATGACATCTTATATCTCATCTGACGTTTTCTTAATTCAGACTGACTTGTTCAGTCTTGCATGGGCGCTTTGTTTATGGCTGAATTTGTATTAATCCTCCTGAGAGTCTTCAGGGTCGGTCTGGTCTTGGCTGTGTGAAGTGTTGTAAAACTTACAGCTGGGTACAAAGCTAAAACATGAGGTCTGTTTTGTGGATACTCAGTTTAATTATTTATTTATTTATTTATTTATTTATTTATTTATTTATTTATTTAGTAATTTTAGCTATGCGTTCACATTGAAACAGTGTTATAGGAGCCCCCGACGACGGCGCCAGCAGGTGGCCAGAGGTGGCCACAGCCAAAACATTCATCGTCGGCCACCCCTGACGATCTGACACACAAGTTGCTAACCACAAATATTCAGCTTGACAGAAATGATGTTAAAGGTTAATTTTTTTGTATGAGATCTCTAGACATTTTATTGTCATCTCAAAAAAGGTGTAGTGTTTTTGTTTGAGTGTAATATCATCGGCTTGGTGACTTGTTTTGTTCAGTTGTGGCCAAACGCTTCCTGTATGTTCTGGTCTTTCTTGTTGATAACTGTAAAACTAACACTGTAGGTCAGATATGATGCCAGGTACTGTATATAAAAGGGGAAGACATTTTCTCCATGTGCAGGACTGATTGATTTGATTTATTGATTTAACAGGAAAAGATCACTAAAAATTAAGTCTGACTCAGCATAATTGCTGTTTTACAGCAGGTTCCTGTTCTGCAGCACATAAAACACTCAGAATTACAGCATCACAATCACATCATTATACACCATAGACACAAAGACAAACAAGCATAGCAAATTTCAGGAAGGCAGCATTTGCAAAATAGGACGTCTAAATATGAGCACAACAAAAAGTGTCCAGCAGATGGCAGACAAGATTCTTCTTAAAGGGCTGTAGTTTTGAAATGGACTTTATGTTTTGAGGAATGTCATTCCATGCTTTAGTATAAACATAGAAGAAAGACCTCTGACCGTAACAGTTTTTAAAAGTTGGTAATATCAGTTGTCCTTTTGTAACAGATCTAGTTGAATGACCACTTCCAGAATCTGATTTGGGCAACAATGCACAGAGAGTTCCATAACTGGCACCTTGGAAGATCTGAAAATATAAATTAATACCATGATGATGTAAACTCCGGGTCAAACTATGACATCATGGCTGTATTGCAGATTATCAGTTAGCAATGCATAAACCAGGGGTTCCCCAACTTTTCCATGCCATGCCCCCCCCCCCCCCCCAACAGCATCAGCAAACCCACAAACAATACTACAAAATGTGTAAAGATACATCAACTTTTAGAATGCTTCTTTCCTCTCTCGTCTTAGCAGGGGGATAATATTACATCTCTCTTTTGTAACCTCTGTCTTCTCATTTCTGATGCTAACTCTTGAATATCCTTAGGTTAGAAATGCTGATTACAAACGCAAGCGTAAGAATTTATAGCTAAATTTTGCCTGTATTGCTATGATCCATTACTGTCACCTTTACTCCTCATCAAGAGGAAAATGGATAAAAACTAACTACTCTATCATACCTGCTGCTTAGTGGACACAACGGCACACAACAGAACTCACGTTTTATACCATTAGATCACAGATGCTTCAATTTTTGTGACTTTTTCACAGACTAGTAGTAGCAGCTAACGCTAAAAACATAGGCAGTAAGCAGGGAGTGGAAGGGAGGAGCGTGGCAAGAATTTTGCCGGAAATATGTCATTAATGACCGTGGCATATAGGCTATTGAGACACAGCCGTTGTCTTTTTTACTTCCCAGCGTATTTTTGTGGCAGCACCATACTCAGGCCTGGCATAGTAACTGCAGGTTGTTTTCTGTATTTTCATGTGGATGAGGACGTTTCTAGTATTGATGCTCTGTTTATGAAGAAGAAACGTTGTTTTGGAAAGAAGGGGTTCTCGTACGAACTGGACATAAAACTCTTTCTTGTTTGACAATCATGGCTTTCCTCGCCCTTCTCTCAAACCGTCTATCTTCTTTGTCCAAAAACTGAACCGTACAGTTCAAAACAGTGTCCCTCATCAGATGTGAGTGAACTAAGGCTCTGTCTCAATTCATGGATTGCAGCTTAAGTCGACTGCATTTGATGGCTGCTTATGTCACGGCACCGCAGGCTGTCGCAATTCGTAGACGCCTACTCATGCGGCCAAAAAATGCGGCCGACAAAACCCCGAAAACATTGGCTGCTTCTCAATATCGTAGGTGGCCGACGGTATCCCAGGAGTCATTGTGTCGTCTTTTTATTTTTACGACAGAGTTTTTTGAATGACAGAGTTTAGAAATTTACCACAGACCGAAAAATTGAAGTTAAACAACTTAGCTGAAGAAACCTTTGTTGCGATGAGATGTTAAATATAATGCAGTTACAAGTACTGATACTGGAGCTAAAGACTCATTTCACAGCCGTTCATGCAGCCAACGTGAGCGGCCTACAATCCACGTAGACTGTGACCAACGGCGGCCGCAGTCTGTCGGCTGCAACCCATGAATTGAGACACAGCCTAAGTGTTGCGCTGAAGAGCAGGCTGTCCTGTGTTGTAACGAGTTTGTAGAGAGGCTGTTTGGTTTCTCCTCAGTAGAGATCAGAACATTCCTCGCAGCACTGTGTGCACCGCTCCACTGTGTGCACCGCTCCACTGTGTGCACCGCTCCACTGTGTTTGAGAGTTTTACCCTCCGGTGACGCAGACAGCAGGGTTATGAAAAAGCAGTGGTATACTGTATGTGTACTGTAATGACACGTTCACACCGAATGAGTTTTGAGCTGCAGGAGCGGCAGGTTTACGTGCAAAGTCTATGGTGGACATGCCTCTAGGGGTCTTGCGGCACGTCTAGGCCGTTTAGCGTGGTGCGCAAGGAAGCGGTAGGTGCAGTTGAGCGTTTTCCGTGCATGCAGCGCATCCAAAGCAGCCAACGCTCGAGTTCAAAAATCTGAACTTTCGGTGCTCGATGCGCCGCAGCAACCAATCAGAGAGCATCATTTTTCCACGACAGTTTCCTGAATGTTGCCCACTAACCCGAAACAGACGGACAGGAGCTCTTTAGCTGAAATGGACCGTCTGCAGTCGGTGTTCTGGCTGGAGATATCAGCACCGATGTGGGTCAGCAGCTCATTAAACCGACCGCAGTGTTAAATTGGGCTCGGGACTAAAAAATAGTTTGTCAGCTCGCAGTTCCTGGATTGGTGAAAATCACAGATCAGACTGCCTCTAAATCATCTGGTGAACTAATTATCTGCTGTGCACAACAATTGCTTGCTCTTAGTAAATAAAGCGAAGCCATTTTCTTTATTTTATCTTTATTTCACCCGTCATTAAAGGCAGACCGAAAAAAAAACAAAAAAAACAAGACGCTCCTCCCATTCAGACGTGTGTCTAGTCTCTGTCCCGGTCTGAATGTAGCACGTCCAACTTGAGGCGTTGGGCGCGTTTTAGATGCTCAAAACACATTTGGTATGAACGTAGCATAAGTATGCGGGGATTGTTCAGAACATGGGTGGTTGTGGCTCAGAAAAGGAAGTGTGGTTGTAGTGAAAGTGGGGAGCAA